GTGGGGTGTGGCAGTATAGTTGCAGATGTGATTCTACATCCTTTAATCACAGACAGTGTTGTAAACCAATCCTACCTCAATACAAAAATATAAATTTTAGCATAAATAAATTTATAAAGGAAACAAAATTAAAGATACCGACATTGCCTTAAACCATATATAATCTTTCCCACTTTATTTGCCAAATGCAAATTTTGTACTCCTTCTCCAACGTCTCTTTCTCTCCTGTCTTCTGAACTTCCAAATCCAGCACAGCTATAGTTTAGCCACTCTATGCCTACACCAAATGTAATAGGAGGTGAGTATGGAGAGAAACACATTACACACATTGAACATAGTAAGTGCTCAGTAAATACCAGTTCCCTTCACTGGTCACTTCCCATCCAGTTCCAGTATGGTGGGAAGTGACCTAAGAAGCTTCTCAGAAGGGCTCGATCACTAGTCCAAAACAATGCTTTGGATTTCAAATACTTACTCATTTACTCGCTCTACTAGTTGCTCCTTCCCAAAATTTGGGGTATCAGTAATTACAAAGACACCACATTGGAGTGGGGATTTAAATACAGTTTTATAGTGTTAAGTTCTTTAAGATTACAAATCCTGTGTTTATACATACAAGTAATATTTCTAGGGGTAGGCCTGCAAGAGTTAACGTAATGTGTGTCTTTTCGTTCTATTTTCTGAGTGATCTGATTCTCTACTACTTAGAAGCTCTGCCTCCTAGTCCGTAAAGCTAGAAAGTCCCTGGGTTTTCATTTAATTCCCAGATGGAAGTTTTTATAGAGATGAACATTTTCTCATTAATTTATCTTCTTAAGTGATTGCTACCACACTAATCAATTTGTAGTGACTTTATCAGGGTTGCAACCTTCAAGAATGAAATCAGATATAGTATTGAACCTTGTGGAGATTGCTTAACCAACTCCAATTCCTCTCAGATCAATGAAACATAATACCAAAATGAAGTCAAGTGTTGCTTCGTTAGTTAGCCCTGCTTAGAGGAACAGAGTAATCTTGTTCAACTGGACACTGATCTCTTTCCGGTGGGAAAAAAACAGGAGACACCTGATGAAATAGAAGCAGCTATGATCTCTGGGGAAGTTCACAGACAACTCTGCAGGGAAGCCTGTAGGGGAGTAGTCTCTAAGCAATTTTCTGCTACATCAGAAAATAACCAATAGGCCTGCACAGAGCACGGAGCCCACACACAAGGCCCAGTGAGCATCAGAAGAGGTCCTACTTCCCTGCAAAGGGCAAACTCAATTGGCAGCATACTCAGCAGTTATTTCTCCTCCTGCTTCACCATTAAATGCCATCCTTGTTCAGCTGGTGATTATCCCTGTGTATAGGGGAGTGGAGCCCTACAGACTAAGCTACCAGTTTCTAACCTTGACCTTTTATCTTTTTGATTCAATGTATCTATTTTCACCATTTTTTACAGTTTAAAGTGCCTGACTTTCTCTCTGTTGCTATGCCTACTTGTTTTTTCTGTCCCCTCTTAGGTACCCATCTTCATTCTCAGCATCATCCTGCAGAGAAATATTAAGATTCTGCACCCTGAGTCACTTCTACTATCTTTCACCAACCAAAACAAGACACAGCCCCAGTGACGAAACAAACAATTAAAACAAAACAAAAACCCCAGACTCTCTTTTACGTTTGTAAAGAAAGATCTTGATAAAATGACACATAGCTCTTTAAACTGATTTAGGTAATTTCATTTATAGAAAGTTGTAAGAACTGTTGAGTAATGTGTCATAGGGGGAGCAGATGAGTAGTTGCTTGGGGACAGGGGTGCGGAGGGAGGCTGGGGCTACAGCATAAGAAACTTTCAGGGTTGATGGGTATATTCTTTATCAATGTTATTATTGACTGTGAGGATAGTTCTACATGTATAGAGACATGGAACAACCTGACAAATTGCGCATTTTAAATTTGTGTGGTTTACCTATGCTAACTATACTTTAAAACTTGATTTTAAACTTCTAAATATTATTTACATATAGATCATTTACTGTCACTCTGTTATTTGTGGGGGAGTGGGGCAGGTACAGCATAATAGGCTAAGAACTGTTTTATTATAACATTTATACTTATGGAAAATGCATGAAAATATCACATTAACATGTTAATAGTATTTCCCCCTGCAGCATATATTTAAGGGATACCTTCACTTTTTAATGATTCATTATTCAATTTTACATGTCTAGTGAACATATATTATGTATTAGACTTAGCATTATGGTTGGGTAATAGGAAATTTACATTCTCAGGCATAAAAGAACATCAACAGTTGACAGTTGAAGTGGGAAGGGGAAACCAGCATGATGTTTTACATGTGGCTGTAGTGCTGAACTTTCTAAAATTACAACAACTGAAATGAGACAAGGGTAGCCAGAGGAGCCATGCAGGATGTACGCCTGGTGGAGACAGGCCGTGTGGAGGAGTCAATGAGAATCCTTGGCAACGGGGTGGTGAAACTACATTTTGAAAGGACGACTGGGCTGCGATTTGATTTTAAGGCTTGCAGAAGGCCACAGAGAAGAGTAGTACATTGCAATGTGTGGGTGAGCGTGGATGGAGACTTAAACGAGGGGGCAGGCACAAGTTCAGACAAGAGGGTGAACCTGGCACCTGTTTTCAGGTCAAGCTCCATGACTGAATGACATATTTTAGTGTGTAAGCATGAGTGGGCATCTGTTTTCCTAGAGTTCGATGGTAATTTTGTTGTTGTTGTTGTTATCAGAACAAGGCTAAAAAGCTTTATTTCCTATTTAATCCTAAGAACAATGAAACAGCGAATTCTAATCATGTATTGTCTTTGAGTGATTTGGGTATATTCTTTATCAATGTTATTATTGACTGTGGTGATGGTTCCACACGTATAGAGACATGTAACAACCTGTCAAATTGCACATTTTATATTTGTGTAGAATTTGACATAGAGACTTTTCAAAATTAATTTTCTTGAAATTAGCATTCCTTTTTCAACTTCCAATCAGGTGTGTCTTGGGTATGGGTGAACATAACCATTGGCTTTCAGCTAGACAGATTGATAGAGTTGCTAAAAATTCAATTGTAATAAATTTATGAAGTTTACCAAGTAGCCTTTCCAAGTCTTCTAAAAACACATCCCCCAATCCCTCTATATGCCTCTCATTTTAAACCAAGGAAACTTGTTTCAGGATATTTTCCTTTAATACATGCTACTCTTCAACAGATGATCTTAACATCTGTCTGCTAACCAGAACACTCCTACATTTATGGAAATGTAGAAGCTGAGAAACTATGACCTACAATCTATATTTGTGACTTGTGAGAAATTGTTTTTAAGCTTTTAAATAGTTATATATATATAGTAGTTTTTCTTATATATATAAGAAATAGAATATGTAAGAGATATATAATATTATTGCTGTGTTGTTCTTATATATATATATAAGAAAAACCTAAACTCATTAGAAGGAAATGAGGAGTGCAACAGAGTGACAAACATGCTCATGAAAGAAAAGAATTAGTAATCTTCAACCAACCAGTAATTCAAACCAATGACTTAATTAAGCAATTTATCAGATTAAAATAAGTAAATATATATTAAGACCAAAGGATATGATGGGATTTTCTTAAAGGCTTGAAATTGACTATCTCCTTTCAGCCCAAGAGTCACTTGAGCTTTCCTTCATTAAAGTTTCATCCAATTTTCATTTTAGGCTAGAGCTTACTCAAAGATAATGGGTGTACATACAATCCTCCTGTTATTTAAGTGTTCAACCTGTGGACTGTGAATTTCAGTTAAAGTTTTAATCACTGTGTAGCTGAGCTTATTTGCTGTGTTTGACTTTTCACATCATGTCTCCTTCCCTGGTATGAGGCACAAAAGAAAGCATGTTTATTGTAAATTCAGTACTTGCCCCCAGTTTAATATAACTCAGTCAGTTATATAGCATTCGGATAAAATTATCCACTGCTTCAAGTAGCTGAATTTCATTAATTATGCTAATCAATATGTACAATGCAAATGACACTGTGGGGAACTTTCATGTTACACTTTTGCTTACAGGTAGATACAAATCAATTCAGGCAGAGCAATCCTTGCCAGCCAGCAAATTCTACCATCCTGCTACCTCCTACACCCAAATAAAGAAGAAACAAAACAATCTTCCCAAACAACTCAAGCAAAAAAAGACCTGCAGAAATAATGATTAATATTAGGAATCAATTCTATCATGACAGAAAAAGAAAGGGAAAAATCTTTGGTTCATGCAACAATGTTCAGTGTTATAATTCCTGAGTTGACATCACTGCTACTTCATAACTTTGCAAGTTTGGTATATTTTCTTCCAGTCTTAATTTAATCTGTGAAATGGATGTAGCTATAATTCTCTCTCTGTCTCTGTCAAATACACACCCACACCCACACACACACCCACACACACCACGTCACACCACATACACACTGAACAAGTCCGTGAATTAAGTTAGATAATGATAACTCATACAGAACAACCATCTCAATGCAACAGAGTACAGGTCTAAGGTGATTATTTAAATTCCATGTTACAGCATAGCTGTTGTTAGATTGATTGATTCTAACCAACATTGGCTACAATGTCCAGTTAATGAAAGACAAAATTGTAGGGCTTCACTTCTTTGAACGATGGCTTTCAAATACTTGACAACTAAACCCGATGGCAGTATTTTCTTGCCTCGGATAATATTTAAGACATGTCACATTAATCATCTTGGTTTATTTACAGCACAGTCTAGAAAACTGGTTAGAATTACTGTCCTTTGTTGGCGGGCATGAAAAGAGGCTCAGAGAGGTTGTCTCACCTGCTTACTGTTACACAGCAATTACACACATACCTCAGATGTGGAGCTATCTCCCTACCTGCACTACTAGGCTCTCAAACTTCAGAGTTTAACTGATGGCAAGATAAATCCCCCCAGGTTTAGATTCCCAAGAAACAATAGTCCCTTCCCTCCCAGAAGAGACTTACTGGTCGGGACCGGATTTCTTTGGCGTAGAGAGGTTGTAAGAATTCTGAGTCTCCTTCCAGCCTTAGACCTTTTTCTGTGATTCTCAAGTTTCCCATCCCATCCTGAAACAGAGACACAGAGACAGCAAGTAGTAATGTGATTAGTCAAAAATCTCCAAATATTTCTGGTCTTCAAAAATTGAAACAAAGTTATTGCCTTTTCTTTTTCTTTTTGAGGGTGGAATGAGCAGGCTGGAGGAGGCGGGAAGGTGTCCAAAGGAATTCATAAAATACCAGGAGGCATTGTTCAATGCAATTATGCATATTGCCCTTTTTGCTCACTTACTCTGAGAAAATTCTATTCCAAGCAATCGGTTATGCCTCCCAGTCATTCATTTGTGCAGAAGAAAGAGGATTTTTTGACTAGCTGTGCAGCATGAAGGCAGGTGAGTGGGAAGACAGAAAAGGATGTTTCCCAGCTTAAAGTATCAGGTCCTGTTCCTGAAATTCCATGAGAAATTACAAACTGGCAGCGTGATGATCAAATTCAGCTCTTGGACATGGTACACTTGGCTCACAAAACACTTCAGATGCCAAATTAGTTACCAACGTTTTTACTAGTCTTTTTTTTTTTTTTTTTAAAGATTTATTTATTTGTGCATACAGAACTGGGGTACAGGCCAGGGGCTCAGGGGCGGTGAGAGGCTTCACCAGAGACAGAGTGGGGAACAGAACAGGCAGATCGATGAGGAGCACTGCTGAGGGGAGCAGCGGGTGGGTCAGGAGAGGTCTGCCACGCCATGTGGTCTCCTCCGGGGCAGGCGGGAATTGAACTCATGAGGAAGCGGCTTTAGATTCTCAGTGCAGTGCTTTAACCCGCTGAGCCACCAGGGAGGGCCTTTACTAGTCTTTTATTATGGAAGTATTCAAAGATATTTTAAAAAGTAGAATATAGAACAGACATCTATGTACCTATGTAGTAATCTATTTTACCCACCTTTGTTTAAGTATAGCTATCTGCCATAGCCACCCACAAACCAATTCCCTTAATCTCATCAAAACTCAGTATTAATGCTCAAATTTTATTTACATTTGTTTTCTTTTTGCATTTGCTAATTTGAAGCAAGTTCCTCACTGCCACAAAACTAGGGCATCTCTCCTAAAATCTACAAAATACCAGATGATTTTACTTAGCGAAACTAAAAAAAAATGAACAGATAAAACTAAATCAAAACAAACACTTTGAAATATGACAGCAGAGTTGAGGTTCTTAGAGTAAGGAGTAATGGGGGAAGGAGGCCAAATTTACTAAAGGGGAGAACTGTTGAGTATCTTGGTGGTGGGTATGGGCTGTAAATCCATCTGTGGAAGTAGGAACCTACATCCTTAAATCATACACAGGGTTGTCCTGCGTTATGGAGATGTTACCTCCATAAACACAGCAATCACATTTCTGAAAATTGAATAATAATTTCTTCTATTTCTTTTCTTTGCGGGGGGCACTCCTTCACCTAATCTCAGAATGAACACAACAATGACAACAAAATACTGAATACTTTGAATAAAAAATCCAAGTGTTAATCTTGTCTGAAAGCAGAGCTCTTGGCATGTCTGGGCTGCCTTCTCCTTGGGCCACCACTGGCCGAGACAGGAGACAGTCATGTGCCTGAATCACCTGTTTTCAGTTGTCCAGAGCCTCTCCCAGCTTATTTCATGAAACTAGGTGGGCTCAGGCTCTGGAGGCGCCACATGAACCTGCAGTCTCTTGTTCTGGGCAGTGCCACGCACAACGGGCCTTGGCACTGTGAGGGCAGATACCAGTGGGGGATGTGGGTGTCTGACGGCCTTTCCCTGGCCCTCTTGCATGGCAGCCCTCCAGCCCGAAGACAAAAGCAGCTCTCTGAGGCCACAAGGATAGCACACCATTTTGGGCACTTGATCTGCTAAGGGGACCCCAGATGGGGCATTGAAACTCCAGTGTGAGAGGCACCAGCTGAAGGGTGCTCCTATCTCACATAAGTAGCAGAAGACTCCTCAACAAAGCAGAAAAAAGCAAACGCCCCTGTCCCCAAGAAATGCCAATGATCTCATTTTGCATTTTTCATGATCATTTATTCAAGGTAGAAAAAGCAAACCTTGCCACAGAAACCATGCTGAGTGGACTGGCTGGTTTGCTTGTTTGTGTGATGTGTGTTTATTAAACAAGAACTGCTCAATATTCTTTTTTTTTTAAGTTTATTTATTTATGCAGGCAGAACTAGGGTGCAGGCCAGAGGCGCAGGGGCAGTGAGAGGATTCACCAGAGACAGAGTGGGGAGCAGATGAGGCCAATGGATGAAGTACACTGCTGAGGGGAGCAGCGGGCGGGTCAGGAGAGGTCTGCTGCGCCATGTGAGTCACCTCTGGGGTGGGGATCAAACTCATGCTGAAGTGGCTTTAGCTTCTTAGTGCTGTGCTTTAACCTGCTGTGCCACCAGGGAGGGTCTCCTCAATCTTCTTAAAGGTGAGTTCAATATGCACAGAGATTCCTCTCTCCTTAACATTTATTGACAACTCTGCTGACTGCCATACTCTGTGCTGCCCATGCTTTATCTCATTTCCTTTGTTATTACTGCAAACTACATGGTATGCCTTGAATTTAACCATAAAGGAGTAATCGTATAGTTGTAGAACTATTCATATGGAACTGTTTACCACCACATCAGTTATAAGTGAAAAGCACAGAACTTAGAAATGAATTCAAATTTTCAGATTAAAAGGGTAATTTAACATGCTAGAAATCCAACAGAATATTATATGCCTGAAAGTTTAAGAACTAATATTCTTAATCTGTGGAGGTGGAATAATCAGTTAAAGATACATAGGTAGATTTTGTGCTGTTTTAGTGTAACTACATGCACACATTCATGTATATAAACAGATGCACATAACAAGCCAAGTTCTAGAAGAAATTTCTAGGGATAAATTCTAGAATGAAATTTACTTAAATGCTCACACTGAACAGCTGTACAAGCTGGGATATGGATGCTTTTTATTTTCCTTTTGCCATATCCACACATTTTCTGATGCCATATTCTAATGAGGTCATCATTATTTTCCTTAATTTACACCTGAGAAAAGTTGCTGATAAGAAACATGTTCATGATGACACAACTCACGGATAACTGATCCACCCCCAAATCTTCACCACTCAAACGATATACTCTTAGTCATACTTCCAATGTATGCAAACCTATGCCCTTTATGGTCTCGGCTGACTTTCTTACACAGCCTCTCATTCAGATGGCAAGTGTACTCAGTGACAGTGTAGGGGTCATCTCCAGCCCCAGACAAATGCCAATATCATAATCCAATAGCTTTACCCACTTTCCCTGGCACTACTGGACTGCATAGCATGACTTCCTGCCACCCAGGCCTGCGAGCATGTGCAGAAAGGCTTCTCTGCCTCCCTTCCAGGTCTCCTGTGCCCATCATCATGTCCTGGAATCGTGGGAGAGAGAATATGTGCTCCAACAGGCTGATACCACAGGAGTGCATGGCCAGAGCAGAACAGAGGGGGAGATGCAAAGGAGCAACCTTCGAGGAACACCATCTAAGATTCGTGATCCAAGAGGTCATTAATGGTGCAGCTATAGCCATTTATCCACAGATTTGCCAAATCCTTATTATTTCTCCCACTTATGGATTTTTCTATTCGTAAGGGTGATCATTCCATGTTCCAATCTCGTTTTTAGTCCCTCGTGTGCCTGAGGCTTCTTGGTAGGAAGTTTTATCAAATTGTGTGAATTTCACTATTGGCTTCCACTTCCAAAATATACAAAGCAGATTTGTGCAGGCAACTAAGTAGCACACTGCACTTTGAAGCCTTAGTATATAGCTATGGAACAAGACTGGAGAGGCTATATGGGAGACACCTGGCACTAGCTTGAGAACAGCTTTCGTTAAATAATTTCACCTTCATCTGCATAAGGAGTGGTGGGTATTATTATGCTAGGTCTATCTGCTCAGTTTTGAAGCATAACTTCCCTCTAAGGAAGATGTAAAAGAGGCATTTTGCCTCTTTTGACAGGCATTCCAAAGAAACAGGCCATTTTCTCCAGTTAAGTGATAAAACTTCAATATTTCTAAAGGCAGGCAGGGAACTTCAAACAGCTGATAGCTGGGCGCAACTGAACCTGAAGTGGCTTAACTTCATCAAGTGCACCCAGATCAAAGGGGTTGCTGGGGGTGGGGGGTTACAACTACCCAGGAGGACAGTAGTGCCCCATGCTTGACCACACCAAGATTTTGAAAAGCAAGCAACTTCTCAAAAATCCAGGAGCAAATCCATTACTTTCCTAACCTGATTTCGGGTATCCCTCCAGAAAGTCTCTGGGTAGACAGGGTCTGGAGTGCAGGGTCAGTGATAAGGGAACTGCAGAAACTCCCTGTGGGCTAGTCCAAGAAAAGACACGAGATCTTTATTCTTCATTTGCTTTTAACTGGCTGGTGGGTTTTCCCAAAGTATTTTCTGTAAGATGAGCATAGAGTAAAGAAGAGATTTCAGGTGGCAGGTCAGTAGACCAAAATGCTATTGTGCTGCTCTCTCTTCCTAACGCTCAGGTTCACCTCTGAGTCCCTTTCATCACCATGTCAGACAGGCTCCCAGCCTTTGTGATTATGTGGCTTGGAGATCTGAAGAGCAAAGAAGCCACAACTGCTGAAAGGAATGAGCGTCCCAGTGGTTTTTCACAGGTAAATCTTACTGAGTGGCCGAGTTAGGTAGATTGGTAAGAAGGCAAGAGGAGCTATTTTCCTGCTGGAAGGTGGAAGGATGTAGGAGATTCCCACAAGTTCCAGAGACCTTTGTCCTGCCTGTATCCCCAGAAGGGACTGAGACAGCAGAGGGAATAGGCAGGGGTACAGCCTCTCCCAGGATTCCCTTCCCCAGGATAGGCACAGGGTCTGAGCACTTCTGGACTGACGGAGACCACAAGCCACCCATGAAGGGCTGAGACCGGCCCAGGGTCTGCCCGCAGACGCAAGGCAAAGCCCCAGGCACAGAGCCCCGAGTGAGGTGGCAGTGCTTGCTGCCTTGTGGGCTGGAAACTGGGGATTAGTATTCTGTTCATTTCCAGAAAGTG